CCAATATGGGACTAGAGATCTGGGCCACAGGGGACCCACTGCTCAGCAAAGGTTTGCCAAAGACCACTGGATGAGGTGGGCGCCGTGACACATGCCCTAAGAAGACTGCAACAGAGCAAAGGGCCAGAGTGGTCTGCAAGAGGCCGGCAAAGGTGCAGGGTGGAAGGGGTGCCCCCCCCCCCCGACCCCTTCTATAGACACCACACCACAAACACTGCATCATTCTACCCCAGACCCTACAGCTCCCCTCCCAACTGGAAAGCTTGAGGATCAGCTGCCACTTGCACAGACCTTAGATGTGGTTCTGGAAGCTCAGATGACCATCAGCTAGGCCCTTCTCTGTGCCTACCTCCAGGCTGCCTCAGGCACACAACAGGTACGGTCTCCACACTACTGAACCCGTCTCAGGGTCCCCCGATCCTGTTCCCACCAAGCCCTACGCACCATGTAGTGCCACAAGCCTACCTGCCTCTGGAGGGGGGCAGCTCTTCTCGACCTGCTCATAAGGCGCTTTTGAGCCATCGCTTGGAAACCTCATGGGTGGCAAACACAGGCAGAGGCAAAATCAGTATGTGGGGGCTGAAGTTTACCTGGCCACTCACCACCAGAGGTTCAGAAATGCTCACCGAACGTGGATGTAATGGTCATGCCAGCTCTCCCCTTTTGGCACTGGGAAGGCCATTTCTCGAGGCACGGGGTTGACAGACATCTTTGCACGCCGGGCCTCAGTGACAGTGACAGCTAAAATGATGAGGGCTGTTCTAGATCAAGGGGAGTTTGTCCTATCCTTTTCCATCCAGGCAAGATGCAACACCAGGCATCTGCCAGTGTATGCTGGGCCACCAGCCCACCCCAACGCTTCTTCTAGAACTGAGGCCGTTGGTGTATAGCTCTAATCTGCTGGGGGAGGGTTCCAGCCTTCTAATTAGGATGGAGCATGAAGTGTGGGCCTTACCGGGGTCAAAGCACAGATCACTGGTGTAGAGGTTTCTGACTAATAGGCTGGCACATAGCCTGATGCTCTTGAGGTGGCCATGGTGTCGGTTCAGATAGAACATCAAAACGTCATGCAGGTCCAGCTGCAGGCAGGTCCAGCGGACATCAGGAGGAGCTACACCTGCCAGGTCTGCATGACAGGTGCAACATCAGTACCGCTCGTTTGTGTCCCCATTTCCATAGTGGCAACCCTCTCAGCCCCAGACCCCAGCAGTCCTCAAGGCCACACACAAGACCAGCTGGGCCTGTACCACCCCATTCTAGGCTTTCAAGCTGTCCCTCCTGAACCAGGTGTCACCACCTCTTCTGGACGTCTTAGTCTCGAAGACAAAGGGGAACTGAAGCCATGTGGCAGAGGACTTGAACTCCTTAAAGAGGTTCGAGAAAGACACACGGATGACCTGACCGTCCTGTGAGGCAGAGCGAGGCCATTAGGTGGAGATTACGGGGGAATAAACAGCAGCAAAACCACACAGCCCTCCTTCCACTCTGAGCACCTGGGTGGACACATCCAGGTGGATGACAAAGTGCTTAGTAGGCAGGGGCCGGAAAAGTACATACAGGTACCGCCCAGTCAGCCCCAGAGACTGGGTGCTGGTTCTAGGGAGCTGAATGTAGTTGCTGGAAGAAACAGACCCACGGATGCGATACACGGCGCTCTTCAGGACCTTGTCCTAGAAAGAGAGAGGAGCTGCACACAGCGCAAAGCTGGAGGATACTCAGAGTGCCCACCCGAAGACTCCTCAGGAGCAGGAGGGGCCCCCGGCCAGTACCGTCACCACGGCCACATCTCCCTCTTTGCTGGACCGTTTCCACTCATCCACCCTGAAGTGTCTGAATACGTTGAGGAAGGGGTGCTGCCAAGCTGCAGGAGAAGGGACGCCTCCTGAGCACCGCTCTAGGGCAGCGCGCCGCGACCTTTCGCCTCCGCCAGCGGGACGGGCTTCCGCGCGAGGAAGAGTCAGTGACGCAGCGGGGACCTCCAACCCGGGACTCCCAGAACGCGAGACCAGACGACAGTGCGCCGGGCGCGCACCGCCACCTCCGGCCATGGCGCCCCAGCTCGCGCTTCCCGCCTCAGCTGACGCTGTCCTACGCAAGACACGCATCACGACGCCTAGCAACAGCCGCCTGGCAACATTGCGTCACTTCCGCCAAGGCAACGCACGGGGCTCCTGTAGCTGCGTGGCACCCGGTTGCCTAGCAGCCTCCCCCCTACGCCTCTTGAGTGTTCCCAGGCCTCTCTGGGCTCGCCCTGGCCACTCCATCGCTTCCTGCTTGGGCCTCCGCGGCTACGCGCCCCCCCCCCCCCCCGGCCACCTGTTTTATTGTTGTTTTAAAGGATTTATTTATTTATTATGTATACAGTGTTCTCTCTGCATGTATCCCTGCCTACCAGAAGAGGGCACCAGATCTCATTATAGATGGTTGTGAGCCTTGTGGTTGTCCGGAACTGAACTTAGGACCTCTCTCTTAACCTCTGGGTCATCTCTCCAGCTGGGCCAGCTGTTTTAAGTTGGGGTGATCGCCAACCCTCTCTGAGGCCTCCATGTTTGATTGGCTGAACCTTTTTTCTGTATATGAACAGGAGAGGTTATGCTAAGGCCATATCCACAGTCCACCCAGGCTGGGTCTCATGGATGCTTTCTAACCCTGTGGAGGCACCTGATCAACACCCAGTTACTCTGGGTCTCTCTGTTTCAGGAAAACAAGTTACCAATGCCCACTGGGGCTAGGATCCCAAACAACTACCTTCAGCACAGGTTCACCACATACCCAAAGACCCTTAAGACGTATTTCTCAATATGCCACAACCAGGCCTACAGGCTTGAGAGAGCAGGTAGGACCTGCAGGGTAGGGCTAGGATCCCACTCCAGTTCAGTCCCTGTGTAAAGAATGGACTCTATCTCTAATAAGTGGAGACATGCCCTGGTCGCCCCACTTAAGGGTTACTCCTGTGTCAGGGACCTGGCTAGGGAACCACTGCTAGTGGTTAGGGTTCATCTTACAATAAAGTGCTTTTCAGAATCCCCATCCCCCCAGGGCAGTCATTACCAGCCAAGCCACTGTAAAGTTAGGCTGGGCCTGCCAGCCTTCCTGAGGCCTCACTCAGGGGGTGCTTTTTCTTTCAGATGCTGGCCACAGCCTAAGATGTTTTTAAAACTCTTAACTAGCCGGGCGGTGGTGGTGCACGCCTTTAATCCCAGCACTCGGGAGGCAGAGGCAGGTGGATCTCTGTGAGTTTGAGGCCAGCCTGGGCTACCAAGTGAGTCCCAGGAAAGGCGCAAAGCTACACAGAGAAACCCTGTCTTGAAAAAAAAAAAAAACTCTTAACTAATACATTGGATTCCTTGCTCTTTTTCAACCTTTTTGAGACAGAATCTATGTAGACCAGGCTGGTTTTTGAACTCAGTGTCAGCCTCTGGAATTCAGGGATTAAAGGCCTGGGCCTCCACGCAGATGCCTGCAGCTAGGTGGCTGACCTCCTTATCTGCCTTGTCTACAACAGCCAGGCTTTTGTTCTTCCTTCTCTTCCTTCCGGGCAGTTCAGAGGTTTACAGCCTGGGCTTTTCCTTAAGGCTAGTAAATTCTCAAACCCCTATTTGAGTCTGTTCTCTGTCCTTGAGTGGCTTTTCGCATCCACTGTTTTTTTATTTTTTAAAGACAGGGTCTATCAGCCAAGACCACAGTTTAAACCCTGTCTTAACCCCTCCCCAAAAGGACTCTATCTCAATAAATAATAAATGGCCTCCTTAGCCTGCTTTCTGTACCTGAAAAAAAAAAAAAAAAAAAAAAGACAGGGTCTATGTAGCCCTGGCTGTCTTGGAGCTCACTTTGTGGGACCAAGCTGGCTTCAAATTCAGAGAGCCTCCTGCCTGGCCTCTTAAGTTCTCCCCCCCCCCCAAGATTTATTTATTATGTATACAGAAGAGGGTGCCAGATCCCACTATAGATGGTTGTGAGCCACCACGTGGGTGCTGGGAATTGAACTCAGGACCTCTGGAAGAGCAGTCGGTGCTCTTAACCTCTGAGCCATCTTTCCAGCCCCTTAAATTTTTTTTTTTTGTTTTTGTTTTTTTGTTTTACGAAACAGGGTTTCTCTGTGTAGCTTTGCGCCTTTCCTGGATCTCGCTCTGTAGACCAGGCTGGCCTCGAACTCACAAAGATCCACCTGGCTCTGCCTCCCGACTGCTGGGATTAAAGGCATGCACCACCACCGCCCAGCACTTAAATTCTTATATTAATGAAACTAAGAATCCCAAGCGGGGACCTTGATTTCCCAAGAATCACCAAGATTTCTGGTAACACTTCTTTCCTGCCTTTTAATTCTTTAATTTTCAGAGAAAATAAACGTATCCCTGCACCTCTAGCCAGCAGCACCTGCCTCTTGGGGTCTGACTTTGGTGTCTGTCAATTGCCAAGAAGAGGTACTACAGACAGATGGGACAGCTTGGGTCTACATACTTCCAAAGTAGGCTGGTCAAGGGCCCCATCACCCTGGTTAAGTGAGTTCCAGGCCAGTCACTTATCTCAAAAATAAAAACAAAGAAGAGCTGGACAAAGCTGTAACTCCTGCTACTTACTCCCAAGAGTAAAGAGAAGACGTGGTTAAAAAGGGATGTTGCAACCCAGCCTATAATCCCAACTACTGGGGAGGCAGGAGGATCAAAAGGCTAGTGGCACATGTCCAGCATTTAGGAGGCAGAGGAAGGTGAGTCTTCGAGTGTTCAAAGCTAGCCTAGTCTACACAGCAAAGTTCAGGTCAGCCAGGATTACATATTGAGACCCTATTCCGAAAAAAGAAGAGGAAGAAGTAGTAAGAGTAAACAGAAGGCCGGGGATGTAGGTCAGCAGTAGGATATATACATCTCGTGCAGGAAGCTCTGAATTCAACTCTGAGTATTATAAAGGGTTGGGGGAGGCTGAGGCTGAGAACAAGAGAAGTGGACACACGGACCCAACACACATGCCCCTGGGCTCCCCAGTCATTGACACTCTAAAGGGCAGTTTCTCAAATTTATTAGCCTGGGTTCCTCCCTGCCAGCCCCAGGGGCTGGTCCCTGGGCACAGTGAGCAGGACTGAGGTTAGACAGGTTTGGCGTCTGGCTCCGGCAGCTTGGGACAGCCAAGCCAAGGGAACAACAGGTGCAAAAGTCCAAATGTTGGCACTTCAGGTGTGACCGGTACCCAGCCTGGCCACAAGGTGGATGGGTGCACCATGGTCTTCTTCGGGCAAAGGGTCCACTATGGCAGCATTCCTTCCTGGACAGGTGTTAGGAACAGTTGGTGATTCTAGCCAGGAACTGTTGTGCCCACCACTCATCCAGGTCAATAGGTACAAAGTCTGTGGGTAGAATAAATGTTAGGCAGTGATACTGCTTTCCAAGCTGGTCAGTGCCTCTGCCCTCCTGCTGACCACAGCTCCTATAACCTGGACTCCAAGAATAGCACTCAATGGAAAATGGGGAAGTCTGACCCAAGACTTCCCTCCCCAACTCCCTGGGTTAGAACATGATGGAGAGGTCAAGGTCAGAGAACTCTTTGGGGGTACAGGGCATGGGGAAAGGCTCACTCTGCAGCCGGGGATCAGGAGAGCTCTCCACATACTGCACAGGACGAGGGACACTCTTATCGGCAGGGCCGCCATCCAGCTGTCGCTCTACCTGCTGCCAGGCTGTGAAGGAAGGACGGTTAGAATGAACCAGGCCCCTGGTATCCCTCCCACCCCAGAACCTGGTGGCCACCTTGGACTCCAGCCCAGCTCAAGGAATGGACACGACCAGGCAGAAAACCAGAGAAAAGGCCAGCCCTTGAGAGACTAGAGTCCGGCTACAGTGGGAAGGACAGAACAGAGCCAGGTCCACACCACTGGGATTCTGTGGCCTGAGCCACACCCCCGCTCCCTTACTACCTTCGGACACAAATCGGACGTTCTCCTCGTGGGCCAATGTGTAGGTCTCTTGGGTTCCCTCGAGGGATGGGGATGTGGTGAGGGGCCGCCGGCCGTTCACTCGATTGAACACAAGCCTCGGCCCCGGACTGTGGGAGGGTAGGAAAGAGATACAGTTAGCATAACCAGGTCCAGGAGCAGGGTTCAAGAGCAGCCTCAGTACATACCCACTGCACCTGCACAGGCACAGACCCAAACTAGACCCTTCCTTAACCATAGAGCAGCTACCCTTAGCTGCTTGGGACAAGGCCTCTCTGCTGCAGATCCTGAGCCTTCTTCAGCTCAGCTCAGATCTGTAGCTCTGGGCCCAGGGAAGGTTGACTGTAAATCAGAAAGAGCCCCGGCTCTCTTTCCAGACCTTTGGCAGGGTACCACAGAGCACTCCTCTGTACTCCTAACTCCTCCCCACCCACAGAGCACTCCTCCACTCCTAACTCCTCCCCACCCACAGAGCACTCCTCCCTACTCCTAACTGCTCCCCACCCACAGAGCAGTCCTCCCTACTCCTAATTTCTCCCCACCCACAGAGCACTCCTCCCTACTCCTAACTCCTCCCCACCCACAGAGCAGTCCTCCCTACTCCTAATTTCTCCCCACCCACAGAGCACTCCTCCCTACTCCTAACTCCTCCCCACCCACAGAGCACTCCTCCCTACTCCTAATTTCTCCCCACCCACAGAGCACTCCTCCCTACTCCTAACTCCTCCCCACCCACAGAGCACTCCTCCCTACTCCTAACTCCTCCCCACCCACAGAGCAGTCCTCCACTCCTAACTCCTCCCCACCCACAGAGCACTCCCCCTACTAACTCCTCCCCACCCACAGAGCACTCCTCCCTACTCCTAACTCCTCCCCACCCACAGAGCACTCCTCCACTCCTAACTCCTCCCCACCCACAGAGCACTCCTCCACTCCTAACTCCTCCCCACCCACAGAGCACTCCTCCACTCCTAACTCCTCCCCACCCACAGAGCAGTCCTCCCTACTCCTAACTCCTCCCCACCCACAGAGCACTCCTCCACTCCTAACTCCTCCCCACCCACAGAGCAGTCCTCCCTACTCCTAACTCCTCCCCACCCACAGAGCAGTCCTCCCTACTCCTAACTCCCCACCCACAGAGCACTCCTCTGTACTCCTAACTCCTCCCCACCCACAGAGCACTCCTCTGTACTCCTAACTCCTCCCCACTCACAGAGCAGTCCTCCCTACTCCTAACTCCTCCCCACCCACAGAGCACTCCTCCACTCCTAACTCCTCCCCACCCACAGAGCACTCCTCCCCTCCTAACTCCCCACCCACAGAGCACTCCTCCCTACTCCTAACTCCTCCCCACCCACAGAGCACTCCTCCCTACTCCTAACTGCTCCCCACCCACAGAGCACTCCTCTGTACTCCTAACTCCTCCCCACCCACAGAGCACTCCTCCACTCCTAACTCCTCCCCACCCACAGAGCACTCCTCCCTTCCTAACTCCTCCCCACCCACAGAGCACTCCTCCACTCCTAACTCCTCCCCACCCACAGAGCACTCCTCCCTTCCTAACTCCTCCCCACCCACAGAGCACTCCTCTGTACTCCTAACTCCTCCCCACCCACAGAGCACTCCTCCACTCCTAACTCCTCCCCACCCACAGAGCACTCCTCCCTTCCTAACTCCTCCCCACCCACAGAGCACTCCTCCCTACTCCTAACTCCCAGCCAGGCAGGCTTCCAGGAGCCTGGTTTCAACCTCTGCCTGATCAGAACTCTAGCCCATCCCCACTCACCAGACACAGGCACCCTCTCCTTCTAGAGATGCCCCCACAGACCCAGTCACCTCAATGACACCCCCACTGTTGGCAAACAAACCAAACAAGGATGAATCAATATTTGCCCTTCCCTCCCTGGCTGGCCCCAGGCCCCAGGGAGATGAGCACAGAATGCTGGGGAGGGACATCTCTGAGTGGGAAGAAAATGACCTTAAGCCCGGCCCACTCCTCAAGGCAAGAAAAAAGGGGCAACTTGAGTGAGATGTCCCCCCATAGCCCTGTGCTGCATTCTATACTCAGGGTGAGGGGCGGCTGAGGCCCTCCCAGCCAAGCAGGCCCAGGGCAGGGCAGGAATGTGCATCCCAGTTGACTGGCTGGTGGCAACTGACCAAGCCCTGTGCTCATGAAGCCTGGGGTGGGGCCATGGAGGGAATGGGGCCGCACCTACAGTAGGAGGTGGGAGCCGGAGTCCTGGGCTGCACCTGCCACTCCGCCAGGCACTCGCGGTCCCGGTAGGCCTGCTCGCCTTCCTGGGCTCAGGTGGCCCACGCCGCTCTGGGTTCCTCCTCAGGTGAGAGGGGCACTAAAATAAAGAGGAGGGTCTTGAGGGGCACAGGGTCCTGCCAGCCCCAGGGCTGGCAGGGTCTGGTGGCTACAGAAATCTTAGATGTGCAGGTGGGGACCACAAGGAGGCAGGACTCCTCCCAGACCCATAGGGTACCTGAGGTTTTGGTGCACCAGAGGGCATGAAGGCACTCGTAATGGAAATCCCCCCTTGCCTGCAACCACCTACACCCCAAAAGGGTTCAAACTTCATGAAAGCATGAGGGCTGGACATTGATTCTTTTTACATGTATGTTTTTGTTTTGTTGAAGCAGGGCAGACTCCCAGAAATCGCCCTAAGTACCAGGATGCAGATAGGTGTGCACTACCACGCCTACCCGTGACTTAGCTTGATTCTTAAAGAAGGAAATCCCAGCCAGGGGCTGTGAATAGCAATGGATCAAGGTGGTGGCCCTGGAATTGCAATGGGGCCCCAGAGGGCAAGGACTACAAACCCAAAGCTAAGCCCCGCCCCACCCTGCTTGGAGGCCATAGTTATGTAAGACAAGGCTCTGTAGGGGAAAGGGCACCAGTCCCAGAGTGCACCTGTAACCACTCCTGGGGACACTGACTGCTGTGCCAGGCCATAGTGCCCACGGACCTCTCATGTACTCTCTACCCCCTCAAGGTGACTGGTCACCCATTTTTCAGCCTGGGAAGAGAAACTTCCGGCCTGTGTCACACAGTGAAGGGGATCGACTTCAAGACCTAGACTATTCTGACCCCAGTGCTCATAACTTTGACTCAGCCCCAATTCTCTTCTGCCTGGTGGTCCCTGAACGTTCTTCCATCTACTTCTGGGGGAGAGGAGGGGGCAGGTAATCGATCACAGGATCTCATCTTGAGTCTCTCCCATCTGTCTCTTGCCAGGAGAAAGAGTATGTCAGAGGCACCCCGGCCATCATCACAGGCAACACCCATACTCAACCACTTAGTGGGTTGAAAGATTTGAGATTTTGCCACAAGGTAGCAGGAGGGTGACCAGTGCCTCCCATGTTCCCTCCTCCTAGAGCCAGTCAGAGAGAGATCGTAGCTGAGGAAAGGCTCCAAGGAAGACAAGACAGGGAAGGCGGTGGGTGGACACAGGCGATTTTGAAGGATGCCCTTGAGAAGATGCAGGGTTAGTTGTGGAAGCCCTATAGGAGCTGGAAATTACCAGTCCAGGGACCAGAAAGGGGCAGCTAACTACCCAGAAACCTCAGAGGAAGTAGGGAGGACACCTTGCCCTACTCCACACCTCCCAGTGCCCAGAAGTACTTGGAGTCAATGTCCCTCAGGCCTCAGGCGCTCTAACTGGCTGCTACTGGGTGACTTCAGGCCTCCACACCAGGTTAGCTTCCTGTTTAGAGTAAACAGCCAGTGTTGGTGTCCCTTGCCACTTAAGAATGTCACTGCCTTGTCCTCCTCCTGGATACCACCCCCAAATATTGCCACAAACCTGTCCTTGCTGTCCCCCAACAATGAAGACTTAAAAGGTGGTTTCCCAGGTAAGAGATGGGCTGGTCACCAAGGCTCCTCCAGCTCCATGCTCCCTGTCTGGGTGACTGCTTTGTGGTTAGACACCCGCACCACAGAGCCTTCCCAGAGATAGGGCAAGGAGGACATACACTGATATCATCGGGAAGCCCCCTGAGCCCTGCTCATCCCATCCCCAGGACAGACCTTTGCATGAGGACTTAACATCCAGAATGGAGCAGAGTTGCCAACATGCCTCTCTAGCAGGAAGCCCTCAACTCTGCCAGAACATCAAACATAATCCACACAGGTGTCTCCCACCTATGGATCCGAAGCCCAGTAGCTGAGAGATAAGAGGGGTTAACCCAGTCACATTGACTCTCCAGCTGAGGCTAGTCTTGGCCTCCAAAAGATTATCCTCAACTTGTGCTCCCTCTGAGAGCCTAGGGCCCTTAGCTGGTCACATGCCACCTATGCCAGAGTCTTGAGCCCAAAAGCCTACATTCAGGAGCAAAGTCTACCCGGCACAGGAAACAATAAATTGAGCCAAAGAAGTATAAGGTTCGGCCCTGAGGGAGTGGGATCCCATCCAGGTCACAGTAGCTGAAATCCCAAGTAGCCAGGGATGAGCTTCCCTAGAGCCCTGGGCACACTGCTGGTTAGGAAAGTCAGGAAACGGTTGGGTCTGACAGGCTCTGGCACCTGCTGGGGAGGAGGGCTGCAGAGCCCCAGGGTGTCAGTGAAGGGCAGGGACCTGATAAGGCCAGAGGAGAACACGTGCGTTTTTTTTTTCTGCAAGGACAGGGCCTAAAGACCTTGAGGGCCAGAGCCTTGGGCAACTTTCCCCAACTCTTGACCTCTTCCCGCTTCCCAAGGGGTCCAAGTTGGCGGCCCAAGGTCGCCAGGTCCCTCGGTCTTGGGCACCTGCAGTCCTTGACAAGCAGGAGCAGTCGGAAGGAAGCTCGCAAGGCCCCACGTGGCCACCAGGGTCCACGCAAGGCAGCTGGGCCCAGGAGTAGCCAGCGAGCCGCCGAAGCGCGCGAGCCGCCTGCGCCCCGCCCCCTGCCCGCCAGGACGCGTGGTCCCCATCAACCTTCTCCAAGGTCACCCTCGTGCCGGGCGGCCCCGCTCACCTTGCCAGGGGCCAGGGCTGCGCCGAGGGCTGCTCGCGCGCGGGTAGCGCGGACGGCGGCGCGGGCTGCCGGCATTTCAGGAGCTCGCCGAGCCTGCTCTCTACCTGCTGCTGTGTGGGACCTGCGGGCCGGGCGGAGGGCGCGTCAGCCGCCGCGGGCCAGCGGTCAGGACGTCCCGCCTGCCCGCCCGCCCTGCGCACCTGTGCGGCGCTGCGCGACCAGCTTGCTGGGCCCCTTGGTGATGGTGTACATGGTGCGCCGTACCGCCTGCCCCTGGCAGCGGCTGAATTCCGCACCCTCCAACAGCTTCACTCTGCGGGCCTTGGGGCACGGCCCCTTTAAGGACGGAGGACAAGCGGGGAGGGGCGGAGCGACCCACACACGCCCCCTGCCCTTAAAGGAACCGCGCCCTCTGGGTAGCCTTTCCAACCCTTTCGAAAATTGGCCAAGACAGTAGATTTGAGCCAGGGGCGGGGTGCACTCACCAACTAGTACGCCAGACTGTGAGCCATCTCCAGATTGGTGTGTGTGTGTGTGTGTGTTTGTGTGTGTGTGTGTGTGTGTGTGTGTGTATCTGTGTCTGAGATTTCTGGAGAGGGAGGCTCTTCTAGTGGGAGAGGAGCTTCTGTGTGCTGGGGTAGTTCTATGAGCTAGAGACCCTGTGCAAACCTTGAAATCAGTATTCCAGCTATTTGAGGCCCCTCAGCCAAGTGCTTGGACAAGCCTGGATTAATGGGAATCACTGTTGTCTTGGGTATGCTTAGAATGAGTGGTCTAAAAAGAAAGAGGTGTGTTTAAATAGATATGAAGTTCTGTGACTTTCCCCAGTGGACGAGAATATTAAGGTTGCCCTGCGGGGAGCCTAAAGGCCCGGGACTGGAAGAAGACCAGGAGGGTATAGAACTCAGGGGACATCCGACCCTAATGTACTAACCTCTCTTCAAGGTTATGTCCTGAGCCTTCCTGGAGGTGGCCCCCTTTTCCAACTACTGGGGAAGCTGAAAACCAGGTCCCCATCAGGTCTGTGGGGAGAGCTATAGGGTTTCCCAGTATACCCTGGGAAGGAAGAACCCCAGCATGGGTGGAGGCAGCCTGACCCCTCCAATTGTCCTTAATGACCCATATGAAATGAACACTGAGCTGAGAGCTGTAGAGAGAGACTTGAAATGTATCCCCTAAGACTGTGCCACTGCCATCCGGCCTATGAAGATCCCTATCTGGAACCAGGGACTGGGGAGTGGGGGCGGGGGTGCAGGTCTTCTGTCAAGTCTTGGGCCACTCAAGCAAGAAACACAGTGGGGAAGGGGTGAGGGTGGGTAGCTGATCCACCTCGATCCCAGTGTACCCCAAAACACCTATGTGGTTTGACAGTGGAACTCCTGGGGACTTCTACCCAAGAGGGCCAAGCTGCCATACTTCTTCCAGCCCAGGGCACTCTCACCTTACCCAGAGCAGGGCTGGAGAACAAAAGGCCTCCCTCCCCTTCTCCAGCTCTGTGAAGATTCAGTTGAGTGTGTGACATGTACTAGGGAGGCATGCAAAATGTCTCCTCAGCTGAGACAGGATGCCAACGACAGACCAAGGAAAGAAGTCCAGCCAAATCTAGTTGTTGAGTCAGTGATTTTATTGAGGTCACTTATTGGAGCGTGTAAGAGCAGGACTCTCCCACAGCGGTATCACCGAAAAGCCCCCTGAAGTGTCGATGACAGCTCATGAAAGCTGTGTCACTGACCTCATTCCCCAAGCCTCCTCTCTCCCAGCAGTTGGCTCCGGATTATATAGCCTTGAGGAGGGCACATATGCATGTGAGGCTTTCCTGAGCTTCCCAAGATTCAAATTTCCTTAGCTTCTTGAGTCTCAAGAGCTTCCCTCCTTCATTCAGGAGGGAATGTTTCAATCCCCAGGAAATAACTATATACCAGGCCTGTGACTGCAAAGGCTGAGTGGGAATATGGGAAGAGGTTGCCAACTCCCCCCCACCACCACCCCCAAGCCCCGCCCAGGGAGTCAAGGCCTGGGCATGTATGGAAAGAAAGGGTCACTTCCTGGCTAAATTTGTCCATTGCCACTTCCGCAATGCCTGACTCGCCCCCGCTAGTAACCGAACAGCCAGTCCCTCCAAGGCCACTGTAGCCTGAATCTGGTGGCCTTGAGCATGCTGCTCTTAATCTTCACACATGGTAGGGAGGCAGGATAGGACACTGGAGCCTCATGCTGCTGTTTGCAGGTACCCCTGGAATGACAGCCATACTGAGCTGGGTTTTGCAGGTTCCCCGGGAATGACAGCTATACTGAGGGCAGGAGCAGGAAGGATCAGTTAGACCAGAATGAAGCACAGTAAGGAAGGTACAAGGCCCTGGTGTGGGGAGTTTGCATACCATACACTGTCAGAAGCTCTCTGAAAACAGATTCTCTACAAAGAAATTCGCAACCCCTACTAGCTAGTACGGAAAGCCTAAAGCCCAGCTTCAAACAACCTCATCAATGGACAAACTCAGCCTTTGCTTACATAATTGTTGGCCAGAACTAGAGGGCATGACATCTAGTCAGTAGCTGCATCAGAAGTCCAAGGTTGGGTGCAGAACCCTTGCAGGGCTCTCAAGTGGGCAGGCGTGTTCTGAGGCTAGGGCATAGGTAGGTGAGGCCGAGATGAGGAAATCTAGTGGTCCCCATGGAGCAGGAGGCTGAGGAGGTGGAAGACACGTTGGAGGGGCAGAGAGCCTGTTGGGGGTTGGTCTCACCAGGAAGGTCTTTCTAGACGCACTAGCCCACCCAGTGCTGCCTGAGGACCGAGCCTTGGTGGGGTACCAGTTGTGAAAGCTGATGTCTGAAGGTTATGGAAGATCACAGCTAGAGCCATAAGCCAGATGGAACTGGACGGATTCCCTATCCCCTGACTATGCCCTTTTCAGAGACAGACAGGGGGATCTGGACACAGAGGAGTAGGTATGAAAATGAAGCAGAGACCGGAGTCAGTCAAGTAGTCAAAACTGATGGTATTGATAATGATCCAAAAACCTTTATTCTGGACTTCTGACCTCCAGAACTGTAACAAGATGAGTTTGTTTTCAACGCCCAGGCTTTGGGTTAATTTGTTACAGTAATCACAGAGGGCACAGCCAGGCAAGGAGAAGGGCAACAGCAAGGGCTTGTGGAGAAGTCTCAAGGACATCGGACTCCCTGTGGGGTTGAAGAGAGTAACTATAAACACACGGGACTGGGCCAAGTAAAGACGCTGAGTCCTGCTCAGTTCAGAGTGTGGTGAGATAAAGGGAGAATGTAGTGGAATTGGACACTCATGTACCAAGTGTTGCCCAAGCTCTGCCTCTAAGCCATACCCAAAGCAACAGGGAATAGGTAGAAGTGGGCCCAGAGAAGGAAGCCAGGACAAAGGCCAAGGCTAGGGGAATGTGGAAGGATCAGCGTATTTTATGTTCCTAACACAACACAAAATCCAAGACCTGATGCTCTCAAGGGCCCTAATAATTTGGTAATAAAGATAAACACATTTGGACAAGCCAAAATTAGCTCCAGGAGCTGGCACTTCTGATCTTTGTTTTGTTTTGTTTTTTGGTTTTTCGAGACAGGGTTTCTCTGTGTAGCTTTGGAGCCTGTCCTGGAACTCACTCTGTAGCCCAAGCATACCTTGAACTCACAGAGATCCACCTGCCTCTGCCTCCCGAATGCTGGGATTAAAGGCGTGGGCGCCCTTCTGATCTTAACAGGAATCCAGCCTCAACTACTCTGCTCCACATGGCTACCCAAGGAGAGTCCATCTTACAGGGTCCAGACTATGGTCAGTATTGAGTACTCAGGCGTTTCAGGACACAGGTGCCCATACAGGCCAACTGCGAGCAAAGCTTCCTGGTCCTGTCTGATGACATCTGACTTAAGGAAAGTGTTGACCCACCCAACATCCAGCTCAGAGTAGCGACTCCTACTGGAAGGTATTAACCAGAGGCCAGGAACCCTTAAACATTTTGTTGAGTACCATTCTTTAAATCAGCTTCACTGGGGGATGAGAAGCAAGAAGATCAATCTCAGCCTTGTCCCTGTCCATTTCCCAACCCAGGCCTCCCCCTACCCATTTGAAGTTTAAATAGCTCCCTAGCTATCACGGGGCCCTCTTCCTGGGGTTCCCCTTGAGATAGGGAGTCCAGAACAGTGTTGCCCTTTGAAGGAGAGAAAGAGCCATCCTCAACCTCTCCTGAACTTGGACATTTGGAAGACACTCACACCACACCATACCCCCGAATAATCCCACGAGGAATCTGTGGAAAGGTAGGCCAGGGAAGCAGAGGCTGGAGCAGTGAAAGGGAGAGCCTGCTGCAGGCCCAGTCAGGGTCACCTCCATTGCCAGACATATATATTCACCTGTCGGGCTGCCCAGAGTGGGTGAGGGGCTGAGCTTCAGGTCTTCTTTGGACTGCCAGCTCCCAAGTAATGACATGGAGATTTTTTATTAATTATGAAAGCTCGGCCTTAGCTTAGACTTGTTCCCAACTAGCTCTTAAAACTTAAATTAACCTGTTTATATTGATCTACGTTCTGCCATGTGGCTTGTTACCTCTCCTCAGTACTGTACATCTGACTTCTTCCATGTCTGGCTAGCGAATCTCCAGCCTCAGATTCTTTCCCAGAGTTCCTATCTCTGCCTGGAAGTCTATCCTCTCCTGCCTAGATATTGGCCATTCAGCTCTTTTTTTTTTTAATCAATCAGAAGGTGTCTTAGGCAGGTGGAGTAAAACAGAGACACATCTTTACATAGTATACAAAAAGGTTATCCCAATACTTCCCCCTTTTAGTCCAATACAAGGCTCTTTCTCTAACATCAATGAACTATACACAATAAGAACAATTATCTTCCAGGTGGTGGTGGTGCATGCCTTTAATCCCAGTACTAGGGAGGCAGAGGCAGGCAGATCTCTGTGAGTTTGAGGCCAGCCTGAGCTACAGAGTGAGTTCCAGGAAAGGTGCCAAAGCTACACAGAGAAACCCTGTCTCAAAAAACAAACAAACAGTCGGGCGGTGGTGGCGCACGCCTTTAATCCCAGCACTCGGGAGGCAGAGCCAGGCGGATCTCTGTGAGTTCGAGGCCAGCCTGGTCTCCAAAGCGAGTTCCAGGAAAGGCGCAAAGCTACACAGAGAAACCCTGTCTCGGAAAAAAAAAAAAACAAACAAACAAACAAAAATCCCAGCACTCAGGAGGCTGAGGCAGGCAGATCTCTCTGAGTTTGAGGCCAGCCTGGTCTACAAAAGAGATCTCCAGGACAGCCAGGACTGTTACACAGAGAAACCCTGTCAAAAAAAACAAAGAAAGAAAGGAAGAAAGAAAGGAAGAAAGGAAAAAAATTATCAAATAAAAATTATATTCACAATGTCCAGTCCATTTGTATTTAGCAAATAGAGAAAGTACTCTATTATTTATTCTATCTTGGTGAGTCCAAAGTTTTGTACCTAAATCATCTTCTATCATAAACTAACCTAAAAATATCTTTTTAGACCTTAAAATGCTTTTTAGAAAAACAACTCAAGCTTTTTTTGGTTTTGTTTTTGTTTTTCCAAGACAGGGTTTCTCTGTGTAGCTTTGTGCCTTTCCTGGAACTCACTCTGTAGCCCAGGCTGGCCTTGAACTTAGGGAGATCCGCCTGCCTCTGCCTCCCGAGTACTGGGATTAAAGGTGTGTGCCACCACTGCCCGGCTCAAGCTTTTTTTTTTTTTTTTTTAAAGGCTTGTTTATTTATTTATAATGTATGAGTGCTCTATCTGCATGTACACCTTTATACCAGAAGAGGGCTCAGATCCCACTATAGATGGTTGTGAGCCACCATGTGGGTACTGGGAATTGAACTCAGAACCTCTGGAAGAGTAGCTAGTGCTCTTAACCACTGAGCCATCTCTTCAGCCCACAACTTAAGCTTTTATGTCTCTCAACCTCTATAAACTTTACATCTTTTTTTGTGAGTTTCTTTTCTGAATTGAGTAACAAAAACTGTAAAACCTAATTATCTAGTCTACAACCCTACACAGAGACCTGAAAAGGATAAAATATTACCTGAGTAAACAGGAAGTACAGAACAAGCAACTTCCAAAACTATAGAAATGACAGACACATCTGGCTTCCTAGACAGTTGCCCAAGCTTCTTTGAAATGTTGGAGCATCCATCTTTGGTCTATAGGCCTAGACTATTTGACACACTTTTCTGTGAAGCAGAAATTCTGAAGGAGTGGCCAACCTTGTTTTGGCAAAGTTCAGCAGTTACTTTCTTTTGTGTCCTGCTTGTCCAGTTTGGACAGCACACTGTTTGCAGTCTGAGGCAAGGCAAGAACTCCATACGTAGGTTCTTCAATGCCCATCATCTTCTTTGAAGTAGATTAGTGCTGCCAGGATCAAACGTGTTGGTGTTTCACTGTCATGAAAAGGCTTATGTTATTAAAACATCTTAAATGTCATGTTCTATAGATCTCTTAAGTGTTTGAAGACTGTTGGATCCCAAAGGTTTAGGGTCTCAAGTGAGCGCCCCAAGAACCCAGACTCCAGTCCAGTTGATGCAACAGCATGAGGATTTTATTAAGCTTCTATATAGAAGGGCTCCTCTGCTCCCAAGAGCAAGAGTCCATCTTACTGTAGACACATGGGTGCTTTTAAAGGAAAAACCCACAAAAGCCATAAGATTACAATTCCCATACAATTTTGTTTCACAAGATCATGGTCTGATCACAGAGTGGGTACAGTCACGTCCACATGTACATTCTTCCTGAAACCTCAAGGGGGGTATCAGAGCGGGAGTTTACACACAGGTCAAGGTGGTCCTTCCTGGAACACCTGCAACTATCCCAGTCACAGTTGAGCACATCTCTTAACAGAAATCTTTTTACATTGTTATATTGTTACAGGAGTGATTGAGTAGTGGCTGAGTCAGGTTGCCATGGAACTAGATTTTTAGTTTCTCATTTCCTGGTGCTTGAAGTTTCTCTCTTCCTGAGGCTTAGGGGTGTAAGCCTGAAGGGCTAGGATCTTTCAAAGGCCACCTATCTAATATACAACTCTGTTTAACCTTGAAAACATACCTAACATGACTACAAGTTTGATTGTTATAGGTAACTAACTACTAACCTGCATTTCTTAATTATCATAAATAGTTTATAATAGTAGCTTTCAAGGACTAGAACTTTACATTACATTTTACATGAATTGCATAGGTATAATACCTTAAACAAGAGTAGAAGCATATATACAGTATGTTGTAACAAAAATAATCTTAAATTTGTACAAAAATCCACACCAATGTGTTGTGCGATATTAGTTTAAGATGTGTTGCATTCTTTTATGTTACATTTGTTTAACTCTGTAAAGCTGTGTTACTTTGCCTGCCTAAAACACCTGATTGGATGCCAGGCATGGTGGTGCATGCCTTTAATCCCAGCACTCAGGAGGCAGAGGCAGTCGGATCTCTTTGAGTTTGAGGCCAGCCTGGTCTACAAAATGAGTTCCAGGATAGGCTCCAAAGCTACACAGAGAAACCCTGCCTTGAAAAACCAAAAACCTGCCATTCTGACAGGTGTAAGGTCGTATCTCAGAGTCATTTTGATTTGCATTTCTCTGATGACTAAGGATGTTGAGCAATTCCTTAAATGTCTTTCAGCCATTTGAGTAGTTTTTCTTGATTTCTTCCTTCATATCTGTAGTCAAGATTTTCAGGAGGTCTTTTCCATTTGAATCTAATCTTTTCCAACCTTGATGGTACCCATAGCTTTTCTTCTCCTGTAGAAACAAAAGCAATACCTCTTTCCTAATGTAACACATATCCTGGTTTCCGTTCTGAGGTCAACACGTCTTTAAAATATACAGGCTGATTTAATCCAGCAGTTTTCCCCCCTACTATCCAATGTCTCTCTGCAGCTCTTGTTCCTTTCTCACTAGCATTAAAAAATTTAAAGTTAATAATAAGTTGCAGAATTGTGTAGTATGTCTGTAATATGCTTTATGTTGTACTATGCAAAAAACTGTTCTGTTTTACTACAGACATACGCTGGAGCATTGTCTTAATTTGCAAAGGTATTCCTAATATAAATGTAACTTCTTTTTTTCGTTGTTATTATTATTTTTTTCCCCTGAGACAGGGATTCTCTGTGTAGCTTTAGAACCTGTCCTAGAACTCATTCTGCAGACCAGGCTGGCCTTGAACTCAGAGACTTGCCTGCCTCTGCCTTCTGAGTGCTGGGGTTAAAGGCATGCGCCACCACCACCCAGGGACAGAATTTCTAATAAATGTGTAATTACAGATACTGACCTGAAATGGTAGACTTGAATTTGATATCAGGGCTTGCAAGAGCCCCCCTTGGGTGTTTATCTTGTTTTTCCCTTGCTTATCTGCATTCATTAGTCCAATGTCAGCCTTTGCCACACTTTCTGCATATTCCAGAAGGCTGGGGCCTTCTTTTTGGCCTATCTCTAGAAGAAACATTGTTTCTAGGAACACCTTGCCTACAGTTCCTTTTGAAATGGCCTTGCTTGCTATAGCCAAGACATTTGACAGTTTGGCTTTTCTTTTTCTTTTTTTTTTTGTTTTTTCGAGACAGGGTTTCTCTGTATAGCTTTGCGCCTTTCTTGGAACTCACTTGGTAGCCCAGGCTGGCCTCGAACTCACAGAGATCCGCCTGGCTCTGCCTCCGGAGTGCTGGGATTAATAGGCGAGCGCCCGGCGGCTTTTCTTAAAACTTTAGAGATTACTTCTCCTATTAAAGTTGCATAATAACTATGAGCTCCAATATCAGAAGTATTTCTCTCTCTCTCTCTCTCTCTCTCCCCCTCTCCCTCCCCCCTCCCCCCCCACTCTTTAGTTTTTTTGAGACGGGGGTTTCACTGTGTAGCTTTGGAGCCTGTCCTGGAACTCTGTAGACCAGACTGGAACTTTTTAGACCAGGCTGGCCTCGAACTTTCCACCACCTCTGGGCCTCAGCAGTATTTCTAATCCATTCTATTGGTGCTGATCCTGCCTTCAAAGGCCTAATTACCCCATTTGTATTCTGAATTAGCTTTTCAAAAGCCAAAGATTCAATTAATATTTGTCTGACTTCTGGATCTGATACTATTTTATTTAAAACTGAGGTCAACTTTGCAAAAAATCAGTGAAGGTTAATTTGGACCTTGTATAATTTTAGTAAATGACTTCAGACCTCTTACCAGATTGTTCAACCTTGTCTACACTCACACCCCTGGCCACTCCAGCTGACTGGACACACTTTTGGACAGACACCTCAACAGCAACCCCAAGCAGGAGCCATGCTCAACCCTAAGCAGTATGATGTAGTACCGGGCAAAGAGTAGCCAATGTAAGCCTTGAGCTCGCTATTGACAACCGCCCGTGGACGTCTGGGGCATTTTCTAAAATCCAGCCCTGAGACATGGATAATCCCACAATCCGGGCCCACACCAGGTGACCACCAGCAAAGTACCCTTATCTGCACACTCGTCGCCTCGAATTTCATTTCGCTGTCATTGACCGCCTCCTGCTGGACCTGGAGCTGGAGCCAGCCGTTTGAGCATCACACAAAGCTCATCTGAGCCACAGCTGTCCCAGATGTCCTGCGTCTAGGGCCCCGAAGCTCCACTCGGTTGCCACCCACTACGACCATGCCCTCAAGGCCTGGCCGGTCGGACGTCAGGACCTGACCGCTGCCCCATAGCTTCCAAGTGCTTGCGACTGCTATGGTTTCCACGGCGCAGAACTAAATCCGAGCTGTCTATAAACCTCGCGTCCCCCACCTTTTCTCCTTTTCAAGGACCGCCAGCAACACTTTGGGATCCAGTGGGTTATCCTGTCTTGCAAACTCTTGTCAACCAAGAACTGGAGCGCAAAAGAAAAGACGCATGCGCAATGCTGTTGCATTGGCCAGTGTACGTCACAGTTCGTATAACCTGTGGACGGCGTAACCGCTCAACAGCGCCGCTGGTGTAGTGGTATCATGCAAGATTCCCATTCTTGCGACCCGGGTTCGATTCCCGGGCGGCGCAGTTAGCTTTTGTTTTTCTGCTCATCTCTGATAGGCCTTGTGATCTGAACATCCTTCACAAAAAGGTGTGGCGCAAACGCAACAAACAAACTTTCAATGTGACAAACACGCTGGAAACACTGGCCCTGGCAAGGTCCTGCAGCTTAGAGACTCCAGTGAACCACAGCCTGCCTCTACCGGAGACTTGCTACCTTGATAACTACAGCCAAGCCCACCCGCCGGACGGTCTTCCGCCGGTGTGGACCCTTTAAGGAGTTGAGCGGCCTGACAGTTTCCCTGCATCAGGCGGCCACTCGGTCCGACCACAACTCCCGTAGTGCCCCGCGCAAGACCGGACCACACCTCCCGTCGTGCCCCGCGCGCACTCCTAGTTGGGCTGGCAGCACCGCTGCGATGATGGTGGCTGCAGCTGCTGAGCGAAATAAGGAGCCCATCCTGTGCGTGCTCCGCCAGTATGTGGATCCTGCCCAGCGCGGCGTTCGCGTGCTCGAGGTGGCCTCGGGCTCCGGCCAGCACGCCGCGCACTTTGCGCAGGCCTTCCCGCACGCCGAGTGGCAGCCGTCGGACGTGGACCAGCGATGCCTGGACAGGTGTGGCGGCTCGGTGTCTCCCACTTGCGGCGGCTTGGGTCTGAGCGGCCGGCGGGGCTGGCGGACGGGGAGAGAGGGCGGGACCAGGTCTGGGTGCTGGACTGAGGAAGTGGACGCGACCGGCTGCAAAGCTACCTGCTGGCCGCTCCTTGGGATTTAGCCCCCTGAGCCACTGAGGGGCATGGCTGGCCCTAGCCCACGCGCTGCTCTCCACAGCATTGCCGCCACCACTCAAGCCCAAGGGTTGTCCAATGTGAAGGCCCCGCTGTACCTGGATGTGACCTGGGAGTGGGAGCAATGGGGCGGGATTCCTCAGCGATCGCTGGACCTGTTGCTCTGCATCAATATGATCCACATCAGCCCCCTGAACTGCACTGAGGTGAGGACCACTGTGGAGTCCAGCTTTCATGTTGCAGGGAGGGAGGCCTGAGTCTTGAGCGCCCAGCCCAGCTTACCCTGCCTCCTCTCTTCAGGGGCTTTTCAAAGCAGCCGGACAGCTGCTTAAAACCAAGGCTGTGCTGATCACCTATGGGGTGAGTGACCCTACCTTAAGAGGCCCCTAGCAGCCTTAGGTGTTTCCCAGTCTCTAGTTGCCCTGAGGCTGGGCCCTTGCCCTTTTCTTTCTTGGGAACAGAAAGGGGGTGTTCCATGAATACTCTGGATCCCAGCAAATCAGTCCCATGGGAACAACTGACCTTGGGTCTATGGACTGTGTGTCTCCTTGTTCCCACAGCCCTTTGCAGTCAATGGGAAGATCTTTCCCCAGAGCAACGTGGACTTTGACCTGACCCTCAGATGCAGGTCAGACCTGGGTGGGAGGGGGCTTGGCTCAGAGGGCAGGTGGGCTGGATGATACCTTCAATTCTGCAAGTGACCTCTACCTCCCTCCCTGACTGCAGGAACCCAGAGTGGGGGCTTCGTGACACAGCTCTCCTGGAGGAACTAGGCCAGGCCAGTGGCTTGGTCCTGGAGAGGATGGTAGGCAGGGCAATGTGGGGGTGGGTAATCTCCCTGTGACTAAGGGCCACTCCAGCAAAGTATTTTTCCAGGTGGACATGCCAGCCAACAACAAGTGCCTGATTTTCCGGAAAGAATAATCTATTCCCTGACTCCCATGTGCCTGCATCTGTCAAAGGTTCTGTCATGGCACAAGCCCCTCCCTCATTGAGTCATTCCTTGGGATAAATTAGCCCCTCCTAGTCTGGTGGCCACAGTGCTGCAGAGAACCTGGGTCCAGTGGCCTTGAAATAAAGCCGTTCCAGCCCACTGTGGGACATCTGTAACACACAGCTTGCTGGGGATACCTGGGGGAGGGCAAAAGGGGCTTGGCCTGAGGGAAGATTGGGACTCGGAGGTGGCTGAAGCAGGATTGAGCTGGCTTCCTCCTATGTCCCTGGAGAGAAACTTATAGGTCTGTAGGAGGGCCCCCAAGAGTGTCTTGGTGCTAGTTGATAACTGTCAAGCAGAAACTGGAGCTCCATCTCCTCACAGGACTCTAACTGAACAGACAGACAGTGGTGGTAAGGGCTGCAGCTAGAAGAGACCCAGAGGCTGTGAATCCCACAGGTACAGACATTTATTCAGCAGGAAGGAGGGCAAGAATGGGGATTATGGATAAAGCTAGTCTTGGAAGCGGTTGAGCAGTTCACAAGCCTTCTTCTCAAGCAGCTCTGCAATCTTCTTGACTCGCTTCTCGCTGGCAGCACGGACATAGCTGTTGGCATCCAACATGGCCACCCCTTCCCGAACCTCACCCATGATGACCAGAGGCCCATCACCAGCTGTCACATTGGGGCATGGGCAGGCCCAGTCCATGCCACTCAAGGTCACCTCCAGGTATTTGGTGCCCAAGAACTTGAGGCCCATCTTGTCGTCTTTGAGCACATCATCTAAGGCCACACGAGCAATGCCACCTGCAGCCTCTGGCTCCTCCAGTACCTCTGTGAGTCGACCCACAATAGCAAAATCACTCCGGCACAAGCTCAGAGCCAGCTTGCTCTTGAGGCGGCAGGCACGACATGGTGGTGTGCGTGGTACAGGGCAAGCATCTTCACAGCTCTCCCGGCTCTCAAAGTTATTGCTATTGCCTTCACAGCCACTGTAGACAAAGGGGTGGCACTGCTGTAGCAGTGGGCTGTAGGCCCAGCGTGGCTCCCAGCCCTGGCAGGGGCCCTGAACCGCAGGTAGTGTGCAGGCATCCCCAGGGCCACGGGCACAGGCCTGTTGGCATGCCTCGTAGGTCTCGAAGCCCCGGGCAGCTCCATCACATTTGAGGGCTGGGAAGGTCATGCAGCTGCCTCGCTGTGGGTCAAAGCGCCAGAGGACATGATGAGGGGTGGGGGGCCCAACACAGGCCTGTGTGTCAGGCTGGCACTCAGCCAGGGCTAGGACACCTGGGTCCCTGTCCTGAGTATTTGCCCGCTGTAAAACTGAGAGGGGGAAGTCAGCCCGCAGCAGGCCAGCAGCGTTACGTGCAGTGCAGGTATACAGGCCTGCATCCTCCAACTGGGCATTGTAGAGCACTAGCTGCCCAATACTGGTGACAACCACGTTGCCATACATCTGGTCAGGGCGCATGATCAGGTTCTCCCGCTGATGGCTCTGCTTCTCCCAAGTCACAGCAGGTGGTGGACGGCCGCTAACATCACAGTGGAGGCTGGCTGTTCCCCCGACGTGTACTGCCTGTGGTGAGGGGCTGTTGTACAGGGCAGGTGGCATGGGAGCAGCCCCAGGGGTTGGTCGAGCAGTAGTCTCAGGCGGTCCTGGGCTGCTGAGTGGCCAACTGAGAATGTGCTTGCAGGGTACAACATGCAGGTGGAGACCCCGCAGGCAGGCCTCTGCGTCCATATAGCAGCGGTTGTAATAGGTGAGGCCATCAGAAGCACAAGTGAAGCTGGGTTCTTTCTCACAGCGGTCACGGCAGCGGCAAACCGGCTGTCCGTCCCAGATGTCACAGTCAGAACCCTGTTGTGGGCATTGGAAGCCTTCGCAGGAGGCTGCTGTCTCAGGTACAGCTGGGCCACCACCGGGGAAGCGGGCCGCCACGCAGCTCTGCAGCCCACACACATTGGTGCAGCACTTCTCAGATGCCGCACAGTCCTGAGGGACAGGGACAGTTTAGTGGAGCCCTGACCCCTTCCCAGCCTTGCCCTGCCCTGCTCTCCCCCCACGAAGGGGCTGCCTCTTCTAAAGCCTGCTTCTCTATGGAAAATGGTGGCAGTACTTTCTGAACAGTATGAGCTGCAAGGCCATATGTGTCACCTTATTCAACCCCACTGAGTAATCTTCAGCACCCCCAAGCAGACCTCCTTAGCACCCCCGCTGTGCGGATGGAGCAGTGCGCTAGCAGCTGCTCTGCCATCAGAGGGCGCACCACTTAGGGAGTTCTTTGTCCCCTTCCCAGTCTGGGATATGAGGAAGGGACCACGGGCAGGGCAGGGCAGGGCAGGGCAGGGCAGGGCAGGGCAGGGCAGGGCAGGGCAGGGCAGGGCAGGGCAGGGCAGGGCAAGGCAGTACTATTTGGTAGGGTAGGTCAGAGGCCTGGGTCTACATGACTCAAGAAAGAAAGTGGTGCTTAGGCAGGCCAGAGACAGTATTGGTGAGGATGAGTCAGTCCAGGAATTGGAGATGTTCTTATACTTCAGACAGGTGAGGGCAAAATGGTGGGGGCATCCTTTGAACCCTCTGTATAGGTCATAGCCCCAAATCCAGGGAAATGAGTATGGAGGGCCCTGGAGAAAGCAGACTCCTAGGGTTGGGGTCTACTCCACCCACTGAGGAAGGAGCTGGGGTGGGGCCCAGGATCCCATGAGATGCTAGAGCTCACCTGGTCCCTGGTGCACTCACGCTCACAGGTGCTCTGGGCGTCCACCCACAGGTGGGGGCTGAGTTGGTTGGGGCACATGCCAGGGTGGCTTCCAGGCTCTGGCAGCAGGTTGGTCTCCGAGGTCAGGTGGATGAGCCCGAAGACAAAGAGCAGAGGCAGGAATGGCTGTGGGGCAGGCATGGGGACCACAGGGCCAGGGGGTGGGAGTGTGTGGCCGCCAGCCACCCGTGGAGCCAGGACTCCCTACAGGCATCCGCCTTACAGGGTCCTGGCCTAGGACTGCTACCCCGGCCTCCAAGGACCCTCTTCTGTGACTCTTTGGCCCAACCCCCCCAAAGGCTAGAGCACACAGCTGATGCTCCTTTCTGGCAATGTGAATAGGTATTCTGGGGTCTCTCAGAACCTGTCCACAAAGTACTGGCTGGCCCTCTCCCAACCACTGTGGGTGGCTCACAGGCTCTGGTCAGCATAGGACTGGGAATGGAAGAAGAGGAAGGGCTGGGGAGGGGCCAGAGGCCCTGAAGCTCAGAGCAACTGACCACTAGGGTCACCAAGGGGCGGAGAAGGGCTGGCTAAACCAGGGAGGGGGACGCTGTAATCCGAGCCCCTCCCTCTAGGAGCTGAAGCCCAGCAGGGATCAAAGTCTCCTTAAAGACCCTCCCACCCTCTGCCCAGGGAGGAGGGGCAGGGCTGGTAGATTTCAGCTTTTGTCCTCAGCCCTCCAGTCTCCAGCCCTAGCTGACTACTAGCCTGGGTTTTCTCCAAAGGCAGCCGAAGATGGCACCTGTCACAAGGGATATTAGGGCACATCTTCAGCTGGCAGGTGGTAGAGGTTCTGTTCTCTTCCAGGACCCTTCATGATTCACACTTACAGCAGGTCTTGTCGTAGAATAAAAAACCTGCTGGGGTGCCTGGCATGGTGGTGCATACCTGTAATCTCAGCAGTGAGGGGATGGTGGCAGGTGGGTTCAGACTGAGCCCAGCCCACAGCTATGTAGTAAATTCCAGGCCAGCCTGGCTACATAAGGAGACACTGTCTCAAAAAAACAAAAAACAAAAAACAAGCCCTGTCAGGCTTTGGCCAGCTCACCAGTTGAGGGCACAGCTCAGCAGGATTTACCCTACCAGACACACCTGTTTCTCTAAACAGGGTTCCTGGTTCCATTGCCAGGGTGCTATGCCACTGAGTGCCTTCAGATGGGCAAGGCAGGTATAAAATAAAATGACTACCTTGTCTGGGTGGAAACAGACAATCCGTGCACACTGGCCAAGAGTCTCATGGCAGTGGTACATAGTATAAACAAGGGCACAGCGAAGCCACCAAACTGACCATACATAGGACTGGATATGTGGTTGTCTCAAGGGATGGCCAAGCACATCCTTCAAAAAGAAAGCATCCTAGATGTTGCTCAGGGATCTGAGTACATTCAAACCTTGCCCCAACAACCCACCATGAGGGCCAGCATCCATTCTTTAACTGGACTAGAGGCTCCACCACTGTGGGGGAGGGCAGGGAGATCAAAGCTGGTGGCAAGACAAAGGGCCTGCCTGGAATCTGCCTTTCCAAACCCTTTCTGTGGCTCCAGAGGTCCCCAGGGAGTGGTTTTCTCAGAGACAGGAAGGAAAAAGTCTGTGTGACCCTTTGTCTGACCTCCTGACCCAGGCGGCAGGGTAATAAGAGCCTGGTCTAGCCAGGAGATCAAGAGATGGCTACCAGGCGCCACTGTCTGCTGTCTTACAAAAGAGCTGTGGGTGAGCAGACTCCTGGGGACGAGGGGGCAGGGATGCTTCTAAGGAAAAGTGCAGGTGGCACCTAAGCCAGAGGCCATATTCAGAGTGAACTGTACTGCCCCACTCAGCTTTGCCTTCCAGTGTATCAGACATAACCCTAGCTGAGCAGGGCCCTACAGAGCCCCGTAACCTGCTAGATGCTTTCCTTTGAAAGGTACCAACTCCAGGTCCCATTTGCAGATGCTCCTGAAGCTGTGTTAACTATGTGAGACGGTCTGCTGTGGGCTATGAGCAAAGGCTCTGTGAATAGCCAGGCTGCCTGATGCTGGCCTGACCAAGATTAGACCCCAGGAAACAGTGTGGCTTGTAACCAGGCCTGGCTACTCTGTGGCTGGGAATGTGAACCCAGTGGATGGATGGCTGCAGGTCACCAAGGTCAGCTGCAGGGGACAGTCAACAAAGCCTGGGATCATTCTGGCAGGCACAAAGCAGTGCTGACTCCTGTGGCAGAGCACACTTCCAGACACCCCTCACCACCCCCAACCAACCACAGCCCAATGAAGCCAGACTGATGTTCACAAAGAAAGACATGAGCTCACTGCTGAAGTTCCTTTACTGTACAAAGAATAAGAACAAAGAACCCAGGAATGGTGGAGTCCACAGCAGCAAGGGTAGTGTTGATGGTGAGAACGCAGGCCAATCCAGGTCCTCCTCAAAGTCTATACCACTCTATTCACGATTCCAGAGAAAAGGTCTCTATCAACAGCAACAGGACTGGTGGGGAAAGGTGATGCTTGATTGTATCCAGCCTCTGGGTGAGGTCCCAGGGGCTGCTGCTTATCAGGCAGTTCCCACAACCATAGCCCTGTCCCTACAGGCATTAACCCAATCTCCCAGAACAGCAGGCTGGCGCTGTGTCTACCAATGCCCTAGTAACATCCATGGCAAGATGGTCTTAGGAAATGTGCACTAAGAAGGTCCCCAGTAAGGGGTCATGGCTCCTGCTATGGCCAGGGCCCTGAGGGCAGGAGGTAGAGTTAAGCACCAGCGTGCCTGAGGGCTGTGTCACCAGGCAAGGACAGGGAAGCAGTCACACAGGACATCCACTGGGGACAACATCCCCACAGGGGAGAAGGCTGACTAGAGCAGACTGGGGTAGGAGTAGCATTGTGGAGGAATAGTCCATGGCTTCAGAAGTTGCTCCAGCTAGTGGGTCCCTAAGGAGGGGCTTGATGTCCACCCCTATGGTTGAGGCTGCTGTTCCACAGATGTCACTAAGAAATAGGTTAAAGATTCCAGTGACATGAACTTATAGGCAGAAGGGCCACAACAGGCAAGGAGCAGCTGTGAAACACAAAGTTGATGCGTACAAGCTGCTAGACACTGGGGTCCTGGGCCCTGTGCCCAAAGCCCAGATACCACTGGAGGCCAGCAAGCACTTAAGTCTGCAGAGAGCTCTGCCTCAACCTGGAGATACTGAGTGGAGAGTAAACATCACCCAAAGTGCCAGGGCACAGTGAGGAGGGATACCAGTGGGGCTCCCAGGTGCAACCAACTTCTCTCAGGAGCAGAAACCTTGCCTATGTCCAGCATATTGACCACCTTTGTCAGAAATGGAAGCTGGAGCCAAGACTGCTGCCAGGAGCATCTGGAGTACACCCTGGCCCCATCCGTTTCCCACTGGCCTCTGAGCAACATCAACACCCAGGAAGGGTGTTTATAAATCCAACGATCATCTGGCTTCAACGCTGAACCCTCCATCACTGCTTCATCCCCCCTTCCCTGACATCCTGAGCTTCCCCAACGGCTGATGTGGCTATGAGGGGCATCCAGGCTTCCCTGACAGCCCTTTAAAAATGTACAAAACAGGTAAAATGTTCTCCATATAAATAAGGGGAGCCAGGCTCACTCCCAGCCTGGAGTCCAGGATCGTTCAGACCTGGCCCCCGTAGCACCAGCAGCCCTGCTGCCTGGTCTGTGGAGCATGCTCTCTCCTGCACGCCCCTCCCTCCACTAGCTCAGACGTGGAGGGAAGCCTGGAGAGACCCAGGCAGGGTTGTGTAGCCAAGTCTTCCTGCACGCAGCAGGGCCCAGTGCCTGGCCAGGAGTGCTCCAGCGTAAGCCCCGAGTCTGAACAGGCGGAACCCACAGGTCCCGCTAGGAGATCTTGCAGTTGCTCCGAGAGCAGTTCTGAGGTGGGCTCTGGGGGGGGCGGATGGACTTGGATCTCTTAAGGCTGTTGCCCTTGCTGCCACTGCCCCCGGCCCCACTTGCCAGGGAGTAGGAACGGCCGTGCATCATGACAGCGTTCATGCCGTTGGCCATGGAAAAGGACTTGAGGTGGCTCTTGATGGTGACAGGTAGTGGGAGCTTGTCAATGAGGTGCACAGGGGTACAGGATACAATGGCGCGGCAGCAGAGGTCCTGCAGGCTGAAAACTGAGGGGAGGGGAAGATGGAGGAAGGAACAGATAGGTAATGAGGCTCTGTGAGGAGAGCTGTTGAGAGGTTCGCGATCCTCAGTCTACCTGTCGAGCCTGGCTGAAGTCTCAGAACTCCTGGTGGCCTCACCAGCTCAGGGCTCCTGGACGCCCCACTATCTGTCCACTGGTCGGCTCCTGTCTCCTGCCTTCTTAAAGCAGAAAACACTACAAAGTGCTGCTGGGGGAGGCCGGTCTGTCCAGCTGCTCTATGAGACTGGGGGTGGGTGAGGAGGCAGGCTAACTTTGGATCGCAGCCCTTGCGATAGCTCTGGTTGGAGGTTAACTCAGTCTTGCCTGGCTATATTTGGCAGAAGTCTTTTTTTTTTTGGCCCAAGAGGGATTTAATTGCCCTGTTCTCCCCTGTGGCTTCATCTTAGGGTGACATTGTAACCATCTTGGTGCCTAGCAGTGAGCCCTACTGGAAAGTACCCTGAAAGTAAGGCCATCACTAGGGGCTTCTGTCAAGTGCTTGGCATGGACAGTGATAAGCATTGCTGAGCTACAAATACCACCAGCAGTGAAGGTGACTGTGCAGAGCTCTGCTCTAAAGCATGGCAAGGGAAGAGATCACTTGCTCGAGGTCTGGGCAGGCAGCCCACGTGACTGCAGCTCGTAAGAGACAACCCATCAATCCACCATCAGCCTCCCAGGACTCCACTAGCTAGCATCCTATCAGAACTAAGTCTCAGTCCCACCTCGATTGGGCCTCCAGATCTTCTCCATGCCATGCCGCATAAGCACGATGCGAGAGAGCTCAGTGAAGGACTCAATGACGTTGAAGTTGCACAGGGGGCTGACTTCAAAGAAGGTCATGCAGTTCTTTTCTGCGTAGGCTCGGGCCTGCTCCGTTGGGACTTGCCGCTTGAAGGCCAGGTGCAGCCGGTTCCCAACCAGGATACGGGGAACACCAGGTGCATGCTTAGGAGGGGTTCAGAACTTAGCAGAGGCACAGTGACATGCCACCCCCACCCCTTGGCCATAGGCAGGGCTCCTAGTGTCTGCATTCTACAATGAAGCAAGTCCAGGAAGATGTAGATGGAACCAAGTAGATGGTGGACTCCAGTTTTTATTGCTGAACAACACTCCCAGGCATGCCCCAATCACAGCTTGGTCCTACAGTCTCTCCTGGAGAGGCACAAACCCACACCTACCTCATCGATCTCCTTGATCCACCGGTCAATGCCATCAAAGGACCAACGGTTGGTGATGTCATACACCAGGAGGATTCCCTGTGAGTTAGATGGATGGAGATTATCCACAGGGGTGTGTGTGTGTGTGTGTGTGTGTGTGTGTGTGTGTGTGTGTGTGTGTGTGTGTGTATGCAGGGCTAGAAATATGGCCCAGAAGACTTTACAGATCATTAGCATGGCCACGATCTACAGGCGGGAAATGTACTTGCCACCCAACAGGAGAGCAGCAGGAGGGGACCTTCTGTGAGTTAAATAGGCCCAGCCCACATATGCCATCCTGTCCATCCCCTGAGAACATGGCTGGGGCGGAACTGACTTTTTAACAATTTTTTAAATCCAGGCCAGTCACAGGCATTACTCTGAAATCATTCAAAAGCCACACAGGTCTAAGCTTTGGTTAGGGGAGGGGTGTAAAGAGCCACAGAACTCACTAGAGGGACCAAGCATTCTGGAAGTCAGTCCATCAGCGAACTCTGCTCTAGGGGCACCTGGGGCTGAATGGAGGCAGCTCTGAGTTTTTCAACTCCAAACTTGTACAGCAGAATGTCAGTCACTCAAGGAGCAGTAGTCAGTGAGAGCTGCCCCAGTCAGGCTAAGCAGGATTTGCTACAGGGCCTTTCCTGCCACATCCCTTAGAGACCAATTACTGGGAGCTCAGCTCTAGGCTGTCTCCATCTGCCTCAAATATCCCAGTGGGGCCACCATTATGGACTCTCCAGCAGGGGCGATACTGAGCGCACTGCTCACCACAAAGGGTTAACACAGTGCCAATCTGCCTCTCATCCTATGAGTTGACTTTGAGAGTTCAGCAATGAGAGTCTACCCACTGAATCACCCACTCCTCTCCCACAGGTTCTCATACACGGAGGACAGAGAAGGGCAAAGATGGGATGGGGAGGAGGGAATCAGAATTGCCATTTCTGAAACACTCAGGCTAGCCCCAAGTCCTACTGAGACAAAGGTACCCTTACCCAGAGGTAGGGAACAGGCCTGGCTCAAACAGGGCAGCAGCTGGGGAGGAACTTCTCTAGCCTGGAGGGGCCCCATCCCTACCTTGAGGTCAGGTACCACTGAGAGGAGCCAGACTGGAACTGTCAGACCTCAAGGTGCCAGGTCAGTGGGTGAAAAATATTAATATTTATAATAACTACACATGGCAGAGATGGAGGTCCACATTTATAATCCCATCACTCAGGAGACTGAGGCAGGGGTATTGCTGCAAACTGGAAGCCACTCTAGTTACTAGTCTAGATAGCTAGGTCTAGGCCAGCCAGAGCTACATAGCAAGACCCTGACTCAAAGACTATGATGGTCTAAAGTGGGCGGCGGTGGTGTACTCTTTAATCCCAGCACTCTCTGAGTTCAAGGCCAGACTAGTCTGCAGAGTGAGTTCCAGGACAGCCTGGTGCTTGTGAGTGTTCTCTCCTTTTCTCTCAACGCAAAAATAAACAAACAAACAAATAAATAAATAAGATATCCATCGTTTCTCTTTCCAGGGAACAGTGGGGAGAGTAGTGACTCATGTATGGCACTCCAGCAGTTGGAAGCCCAGAGAAGGAGGTCCCTGCAGAGTTTGAGGCCCACTTGGGCTATGGAGTATGAGATCCTGTCTCAAAAATCAGGGAGAGGAGTTGTGGAGATGGCTCAGTGCCTAAGAGCACTGACTGTTCTCCCAAAGGACCCCGATTTGATTCCCAGAACCTACACAGCTGCTCAGAACCATCTGTAACTCCAGTCCCAGGGGACCTGAGGCCCTCCTCTGACCTCCATTGCTACCTGTACACATAAAATGCATTAAAAAAAGAGAGAAGTGAAGAGGGGCCTGTAGAATTCATCCTTGGCCTAATGTTCCTCACTTTCCTTTTCTCTGAAAGTATCTAGACTTAAGACTACGCTTCTTCCCTCAGGGTCTGCCCCTTTGTTCCCAAGGTTGTTCCTGGCTGTCTAGAGGTAGGGTCTGAGCCTGGGGGTTATCTGGCTCTTCCAGAAGTTTGAGGTGCATCCCAATGGGACTGAACTTCCATTCACACCCCTCATGTAGAAGCAGCACAGGAACTAAAGCAGTTCTGTTTACACAGGTCTCAACTACTTCCCCTCTGGTTTCAGAATGGTTAAAAAAAAAAATCTAAAAGCATGTAGGGGATCCCAGAGAACAGGGAATAGCTAGCCACAGCATCCATGGGACTACACATGCATGGTGCTCTTCTACAGTCAAGACAAGATCCCCATAGTCTATTTCCTGTCCAGAGAATTGGCTGCAGCCCATCTTTAACATTTCCAATCTGTAGAGTTCTAGCTTTGATACAGCCCAGGTCACCTCCACATCCAGTCACACCCTTTAGGGGGTACACAACTCTGTGTGTGAGGGAGGTATTAGGGGGACACCTTTCGTTTCTAGTGAAACAGATGGATAAGCTGCACCTCCACAGCTTGGAGAGGCCACTGCAGTGGCTGTGCTAAGCTCAGGGCACATCTTGAGGCACCATGAGAACATCAAGGGCTCATACAAGGACACTAGGCAGGTACAATAGAGACCCAGTTGCCTCCCACATAGGCAGTCTGGAAACGGAGGCTCCAAAGCTGAGCATCCTTCCTATACAGAGGGAAGGATGGGCTTTTGGAGACCTGATGTCTGGACATCAAAATACTTGGACAAAATGGGCCGAGGATGCAGCTCAGTAGCGGAACCCAACCTATCATGCACAAGGCCCAGAGCTCAATCCCGGCACTGGAAGAAAACAAAACACCTCAAAGGGAGTAAAGTCCTTAGTGAACTAGCAGGACAGTGATCCAGGTCAGAAACAATCGGGAGAGGCACCTACTGAACAACACAACGGTGCTGGTCTTACCTGTGCGCCCCTCGAGTAGGACCTGAAGATGGTGCAGAACCTGCCCTGGCCCGACGTATCCCTGAAACACACGGGGGTCAGTAACATGCACAAGTATGAGAGGCTCAGTCCTGGCGTCTCTTCTTCTTTTTCCTCCTTTTTTTCTTTTGAGATAGAGTCTCACTGTGTAGTTTTGACTGGAATTTGCTACACAGAACAGGCTGGCCTTGAACTCACAAAGGTCTCTGCTTGCCTCTACCTTCTGAGTACTGACTGATATTAAAGGCAAGTGTACACCCAGTTCCTTCTTAATTTTAGTTTGTTTGTTTTGTTCTTCAAGACAGGGTTTTTCTGTGGAACAGCCCTAACTGTCCTGGAAATCCCTTTTTAGACCAGGCTGGCCTTGAACTCACAGAGATTTGCCTGCCTCTGCCTCCTGAGTGCTGGGATTACAGGCATGCGCCACCACACCCGGCCTTAATTTTTAATTTTATGTATATGAACAACACATACCCGCGAGAGGCCTTAAGTGGGTGTCAGATCCACTAGAACTGAAATTACAGACGGTTGTGAGCTGCCACATGGGTGCTGGCACCCACACCTGGGTCCTTAAAAAGAGCAGCAGCAAGTGCTTTTCTTAACCTCTGAGCATCTTGCCAGCCCCATGGAAACCAGTTTTCATGGGTAAAATTAGAGGAGCCATACATAAAATTGGTGAGGTAGTGGTGATTCATGCCTTTAATTCCAGCAATCAGGAGGCAGAGGCAGGCAGATCTCTGTGAGTGTGAGACCAGCCTGGTCTACATAGTGAGTTCCAGGACAGCCAGGACTGTTTCACAGAGAAACCCTGTCTCGAAAAACAAAACAAAACAAAACAAAAACCAGAAAAAAATTGGAGGAGGCTTTGGTATGTCCTCACTTGGCTTCCACACCCTCATTAGATCACCGACTCACCAAAGTTCCAGCTTGACACGCCGTCCGTCCAGTAGGATGGTGGTAGTCTTATAGTCAATTCCTGTGAGGAAGCAGAGGGTTGAGAGTGTCCATCAGCAACTGGGCTCACTGAGGTCCTCCTGCCCAAGTCTGTGTCGCGAAGCAGAAAAAAATACTTCCTCAAACCCCACAATGACCTCTGGGGAAGCAGGAACAGGAAGAGGGTGCTCGCTGTTCCCGGCCATGGCTCTCTCAGGCCCTGCCTAGCTCACACTGTATGGCAGCCATGGGCAAGGCAGAAGGGATCTCCTCCCAGAACGCCTGGAGGGAGATGGTCCACTCCCACTGAGACATGTCCTTCCTATAGATCTACAGTTGAGCTCTCCAAGAATAAAGTCCTTCCTAATTCCTGGATTTATCACAGTTCTCAGGTACTGCTGTATCACCAAGAGGAAGGTACTTACTTACCTAGGTTTTGTTTATTTGTTTTTTGAGACAGGGTAGCACTGGCCATCCTGAACTTTCTCTGTAGACCAGGCTGGCCTTGAACAAGAGATTTGCCTGCCTCTGCCTCTTGAGTGCTGGGATTAAAGGTGTGTGCCATCACTGCCTGGCTACTTACTTAGGTTTTTAGAGACAGGGTCTTAAGATGTAGCCCAGGCTGGCCTTAAGCTCATGAAGTCTCCTGCCTAAGCACCTAAAGAGTACAGATGAGTACCACCACACAGAACCAAAATAATTTTTTAAAAGCTGCTCCCCTACAGAGCTCTCCATAGAATTTATGCTTACTCTATCTTAAGAGTTTGCTTTATGTTTTCACATTTTTATGAAGAAAAGAAAAGTCAGCCCAACAGATGTTGGTGGCAGCAGGCAGCACTGGATACTTAATTTACATGAAACATTGGAGCCTTATCAATTCCACCAGTGGTGATCAAGCCTTTTTTGGGGGGTAGGGGCGGGGAATGGGCCTTACTATATAGCATAGGTTGGCCAATGACTCTCCTCTCTCATCTCCAGTTTAAATCTTTTTTTTTTTTTCCGAGACAGGGTTTCTCTGTATAGCTTTTTTTTTTTTTTTTTTTTTTGGTTTTTTCGAGACAGGGTTTCTCTGTGAAGCTTTGCGCCTTTTCCTGGAACTAACTTGGTAGCCCAGGCTGGCCTCGAACTCACAGAGATCCGCCTGGCTCTGCCTCCCGAGTGCTGGGATTAAAGGCGTGCGCCACCACCGCCGCCCGGCTTCTCTGTATAGCTTTGCGCCGTTCCTGGATCTTGCTCTGTAGACCAGGCTGGCCTCGAACTCACAAAGATCCGCCTGCCTCTGCCTCCCAAGTGCTGGGATCAGTTTAAATCTTAAAGACATCAGTTTCTTATAATACTTGCAAGCCAGGTGTGGTGATACACATCTGTAATTCTACCACTTGGAAGGTAGATGCAGGATCCAGAACTCAAGGTCACCTTTCTCTGCACAGTAAACTCAAGGCTGCCTAATCTACCGAAACCTCTGTCTAAAACCTAACAAATTAACTTTGTTCCAAGAGGACTTGGAAATGGCATTTTAAAAATGCATAGGTACCACTCTCACAGAATATGGTGTACATGCGCTTATACCATTCTGCACATCCAGTCCACATCCTGGTGAGTGTACACTGATGTCCTTGTGCCTGTGTACCTGTGCATCTCTATGTCTATCTTACAATACAGCATCCTCTTCAGGCATCAGTAGCTCCTTCTGAGTCATCTTCTGCCTGTTCAACTAGTAACTGCATCCAAACTTGGTTCTCATGCATTAAAGGACATTACAACAGAGTGAAGAATTGCAACATACAGAAGAAAATATTTGCAAGTTATAAATCTTATTAAGACAGAGTTCTATAAAGAACTCCTTAACTCAACAATAAAACACAACTCAATTAAAAAATGGACAAAGCCATATCCCTACAAAAGACATAGACAGCAATGGTCAACAAGCACAAGGAATTGTGTGACATTACTGGCAGTTATCAGGAAATGAAATCAGAACCCTATGCTAACCACGGTATACTGGATTAGACAGCTAACTCCAAACAGATAGTGAAGTATAGAGAAACGAAGACCTTTCTATTCTTCCAGGTGGGGGTGCTAATAAAATAATGATTGCACAAATGCACAAATATGTGGTGCTACTGAGCATGTACTTGATAAGCTTGGTTAAGACATGATTTTTTGAGACAGGGTTCTCTATGTAGTCTAGCTGGCCTGGAACTTGTTAGGCAGCTGGTTTGAATTTGCAGCAATCTTCCTGCCTCTGACGCCTCTACTTCCATGACATAAAGTAGGGTATTGCATGCACACCGGCAGGACTGACAGCTGGGCCAGGTCACAGTGCTCCTGTACCCTTTCCCCACTTTCCTTGGGCCTCTCTGCTACAAGGTCAATGCTGGCAACTGCAGCTTCCAAGAGAACCTCCTGGGGACACTATTGCAGTCATTTTTATTTACTTATTTACTATTTTTTTTTCAAGACAGGGTTTCTCTGTGTAACCCTGGCTGTCCTGAACTTACTCTGTAGACCAGGCTAGCCTTGAACTCAAAGAGATCTGCCTGCATTCGCCAAGGCGTGTGCAACCACTACCCATCGTGATTTTTTTTATTTTATCTTATTTTATTTATTTGTTTGTTTGTTTGTTTTTGAGGCAGAGTCTCACTCTAGCTCTGGCTGGCCTGGAGCTCACAATGTAGACTAGGCTGTCCTTGAATTCAAGAGATCTTTCATAGAGATCTGTCTGCCTCTGCTTCCCGAGTGCTGGGATTAAAGGTGTGCACCACCACACCTTGTACTGATTTTTGGTTGGCCTCTTTGAGAGCTGTAAGCAGGGCCTGAAGCATAGCCTTGACTGATCTGGACTCCTCAATCCTATCCCCAGGAAAGCAACTGCCTGACTACTAAGCTACCCCTAGATGGTGCTGTGGCGCTAGGCCTGCCCAGAGTGCAGCAGCTGCAACCAACAGTGGGTACCTGGAAAGAGCCGACAAAGAGACCATCGTTGTCACCAAAAAACAGACCTGTGATAAGGCAACATAAAGACCTATGCTGACGGGCCTGTCACTGTTCTCAGCTGACTGTGTGACACTGAGAGACTCCCCTAGGCAGCACACCTGCCTTTCAGAATGAAACACATTTGCATCATTCTAGCAGTAGAACTCGAGGAGCCCCAGCACCAGGAAGGCCTAGAACATTCTAACATGGAGATGGCTTGCAACTCTGGGAACCAGGTCAAGAATCTCAAGAGAGAACTGATCTGGGTGATGGGGGGAACGGGTCAAAGGGCCCTTGGGGCCCGCTCTCTAGCCACTGGCTCCATATACACTTAGCTGTTCCGTGCTCACCCAGGAAACATGGGGCACAGTCATCAGCTAGCCAGTGAACTAGCCTCTTCCCCATTAGGCTTTAAATGTTCAGCAGCTTTTTAAATGACGGAGCCCAGGGTGGAACAGAGCAGTAAAACATGTGATTTGCATAGGTCCACAAAGTCCTGGGCTCAATTCCTAGCACCCAAAATAAAAGATTGGGAATTTTAGTCAAAGTAAATCAATCAATCAATGAGTTGGGCATGGTGGCACATACCTTTAATCCCAGTACTTTAGAGGCAGAGGCAGGCAGATCTCTGAGTTCGTGGCCAGTCTGGTCTATATAGTTCCAGAACAACCAGGACTAGGTAGACAGATCCTGCCTCAAAAGAACAAAATAAAAATAAATAGCCAGGCGGTGGTGGTGAACATCTTTAATACTAGCACTCAGGAAGCAGAGGTAGGCAGATATCTGTGAGTTTGAAGCCAGCCTGGTCTACAGAGCAAGTTCTAGGACAGCTGGGGCTACAGAGAAATTCTGTCTCGAAAAGAAAAAGAAAAAGAAAAGGAGCAGTCTAGCTATGCGGTACTGCATAATACCAATGCACCCACGGAGCTAGACTTTTCAGCTCTCCTGCCAGGAAGTGTGCCTGCTGCCTGGCAGACCTGTGGCTTGAGGAGGTCACAGGGGTCAGTGGCAGGTGGTTTTGCATCAGTACCCTCTGGCAGTTCTTTTTTTTTTTTTTTTGGGCAAAGTTAGGAAAGTGAAAGCTGCTCTCCTTACCCTGGAAAGCATCTTTCCCTAGACTTCTAGTCTTCTAGCCTGGCTGAGCTACAGCCCAAGGCTACTCAAGAAATCAGCGTGCCCTGAGCTTCCTCCAGATTCTGGGCCGTTCTCCCCAGCAAGAACTGGGAGGTTTTAATGTCTTAGTTCCCAGTTCAGTGAGGAGGACCTCCCGACTCCCAGTGCTCATTACACAGCTCTGAAGGGCTCCACACTAAGCCACCATAGAGAGCGTAGTCCGGTAGCAGTGGATGCTTGGGGGTCTAGTGACAGCTCACATTAAAGTGTTATGCCAAGATTACCATGGAAGGAGCCCTTGGCTTGGAAGGGTTCTAAAAGGAGCAATTATCCAAGGCTTGCGGGTAAGTAGGTCCTGAGAAGGAGGGGGTACAGGGATGAAGGACTGTGGTGGAAGAGGCAGAGCAGTGACCTGGAATGGGGCCTGAATCAGGCACAAGAGAGACAGTAGGCATGTGGGGCACAGACTGGCAGAGCCACCAGCAAGCCCGAGTCTGAACATCACTGGAAGGGGATTGGTGGGTGTCAGGACGCCTGTCAATGCTGACACTCTTTCAGGACCATTCACTTCCCTCTTCTCTTTAAAAATAGTTTTTTTAATCAGCTAAGACAACACAGCTTAATTCAAGATGCACGAGCCCCCAGGAGGACCAGCTGACCCCTCTGGCCCCAGATCTTCTATGCTAAGGTTTCTCTAAGCAAAGAGATCTGTTGACCCTGCCACTGCCCACTGAAAGCCTCATCTAACAGCTTGCCTCTGTCCTCATAGCCCTCTTGCTCATCTGAACCCAGCAAAGCGCTGCCCCTTGGCAAACTTGAACACAATTTTTAAAAAAAAATATGCATTGGTGTTTTGTCTGCATGTATATCTGTGTAGGGTGTCAGATCCCTTAGAACTGGAGGTACAGACGTTTATGAGCTGCCATGTGGGTGCTGAGAACTGAACTCAAGATC